TGATGGGACTAGATAACTACATCCCGTCCGGAATTCCCCTATCAATCTTTAGGGGCTGAAATCAGAAGAACCTTGATTTTTCCTAATTTGAAGACACTGGCTAACTGCAAAAAACCTGCATTTTAATAATATTTTGAATGGGTTGATTAAATAGGAACAGATGGTTAAAGTTTGTCGTTTTAGGAAAAATAATGAAATATTGCACTGCTTAATCTGTTTCTCTTTCACACTCTTCCCTATTCCCTCCCCACTGCATAGATATTCATTGCAAAAAAAATCTTAAGGCAAAATGCTAATAATGTTTTTTTTAGTCATGTTAGGTCTCCTTACCTAAAAGGACCCTAACTTGGAAGCTATCTCTGTGTGGCTGGGTTAGCCCTTTGTTCCTGGGCTGCCTCAGAGGAAGCTTCCTACATGGTGTGAGTTTGGGCATTTAGGAAGTGGTGGGGAAGTGACACTACCTTAGATACTTCTTTCCATAAGGAAAAGTAGCTCTGCAGGTATTTTACCAGCCAGAGGCGGCTCCCACCCGGAGGGTGCCAGCCGAGCAGAGGTTAATTGTGTAAGTCTCATCCATTTACTCCCCGGCTTTGTGGAGGAAGAAGCTCTGACTCCCGGTGCCTCCTGGTCAAGGGAAGGCAGGCCACTTCTGTCGCCGGCATTCTATTTGGGTGTGCTTCTCTGCCGAATGCATTTCTCTGAAGTTTTCTTACCATTCTGTGTAGACAGCATCGTATGAGATCAACTGCTGGGAGAGAAAAGGGAGTGCTGCTTTGTCACTGCCACCAGAAACGCTTGGGAGAATGAGCATCGTGTGCCACATTCCCACAGCTTGCAGACTTCAGTAGCGGGAGCCTCCAGAATGCTCCTGGATAAACATCATCTTTGTGGCCACACATTGTTTTATGAGCTGAGTCATCAGCCTGGCTGGCTCCTTAAATGCTGCTGTCTGAATCTTCAGGCAGAGGAAAACAAGGAGGCTTGAAGTGCAATGTGACAGAACTTTATAGAGGGTCTGTCTCATTCGCCAAAGGTGATGAGGGACTTGCCATTATGGAGTTTGCTCACGATAAAAGGATTATTGATCAACGTTCATTTCATTTGAGAGGAAATATGATGCTTTTCTGCATTTCTTATACATTATTTAGGAAATCTGTTTCATTATAGCTACTTTTAATAGCCACTAGCATTAAGGGATTTCCTGATGAAAATTTGATTCCTTCCTCAGCCATCAAGTTGCAATTTATCATTTAAGATAATGAGGTAAAACCAAAAGGAACGGTGACACAAGAAGCCAGACTGTTTGCAGATTTCTGGCTTCTTAAATTGTTCTATCATATTTATGTTTTTTTTTTTTTTTTAAGATTTATTTATTTTATGTATACAATGTTCTGTCTGCATGTATGCCTGCAGGCCAGAAGAGAGCGCCAGATCTCATTACAGATGGTTGTGAGTCACCATGTGGTTGCTGGGAATTGAACTCAGGACCTCTGGTAGAACAGTCGATGCTCTTAACCTCTGAGCCATCTCTCCAGTCCCCCCATATTTATGTTTTATATAGCTGTTCAGTAAGAGGTTTCTTGATTAAAACTGATGTTCTTATAATGGGGAAATTTGTTCTGATTAATTCGAGCTTCTGATTGGGAGATTTGTGATTTGTTAAAGTATCCCATTTCTTTTTCAGCCCAATCTTATTATGGTGTCTGTAGACATATAGGTAGAACATTCACCAAAGAGTAGATGTGAGATTCTTGTTAGGTGTCAGGCACTATGTGAGCCTCTGTGCAGGGCTAACATAACTGAAATCCTTGCCACCGAAGACAAAAATGGATGGTTATCGGTGTGCCAAGCAGACACACTCTGCCTCTTAAAGCGGGGGATTAAGTGCTACAAGGAAGAAGGCCCTGATGGTCGAGAAGACAAACTTCCTGTTGTGGTGGTGGGCGGCTGGGAGTCTTCCTGGAGAAAGTGGTCCCGAGGCAATCCTTGGAGGATGAGGATAACCCATAAGTTTCAAGTGAAAGAGGTTGTGGGCTAGGGGATAGTGTTCCCCAAAGCACCATCAGATCAAGAAATGGTAGATGCCAGTGTTTGGAAGTAGGATAGCTCTGGAGAATTCTGGAGAACAGTTTTTTAAGTGGTAAGCTTAGAAATCAGATCTTGAGGGGCTGAGAATCAAATAAATTACACCGACATGAAAGGACCTGGAATAAACAGGTCTCTTCTGAAGTTAGGTAGGAGGAAGAAGGGATGGTTGAGGAGCGGTGAGGCTACTGACGAACTTGTCTTCCTGGGGTAGTAGGAGCCTGTGGAGCAGGACAGGGTGAAAATGGAAGATAGAGGCTTCCAAAGGAAGAGCAAGAGGCTGGGTTCTGGCAGGAACACAAGAAAACTGGGTAAAGAGGAGAGGGAGGTCAGTGAGGATTCTGAATTTCAGATGCAAGCTGGAAACCAGCTCAGGGCTGGGAGGGTTGTGTGTAGGGGGTTGTCAAGTGGACGGAGAGCCTGAGGAAGGGAAGGCTCGGACCAGATGCCATGGGGACAGAAGAGCAGGTGCATGGTCCTGCTGAGGCCTGATTCTCCACGTGTGCTGTGTCCTTTTGCTTTGTTTCAAGAAAACAATCTAAATTTAGTGCAAACAGCAGGAGTAAAGGAGTCCAGAACTTAACCAATGTCCCCTTTCTCCTCCTTGGCCCCTTTTCTTTCCCTTTCACTGGCTGGAATTAATAATCTCTGACCTCAGAGCTGAGATGTGCAGTAGTAGGGTGGATTTTCTTTGTTTGGAAATGGGAGTAAATTCTGGGGAAACTGGGCCTTAGGCTCTGCAACTGTCATTATATACACCAGTTAAGGGAATGGAAGTAGAGGATGAAGTAAGAGCTTCATGGGTGTTCAGAGGACCTGTGTTGCTTGCACCCACTATTTGGCCAGAGCTCTCTAGAGAGAGTTTTGTGGGAATGTGGCTCTGTTCTGTGGTATGCCCTCCATCACTGACATTGTCCTGGGGTCTATATTCCTGGAAGAGCTGAATAAATAAGAGCACCTCTGTTGTTCTGCTTTTGGTTCCCAATCAACCTTCTACTCTCAAAGTGTATCTGGCTATTGAGAAATTCAGTTGTTCACAGCACAGACATTTTCTGGGCAGGAGTGGCAGGCAGCCTTCGTTGGTAGAGGGAAGAGTCTGGAGATCAGGACGTAGTGGCAATAGTCCAGGTGACAGTGAGGACAGCCAGGGCACTTTGAAGAAGTAATCAAGATCTGGCAATTACTAAGATACTTACTCTTAAATTACAAAAAATTTAAAAGCAAGGTCTCTGTATGTAGCCCAGGCTGGCCTCAAACAGGATTCTTTTGCCTCACATTTCAGACTGCTATAATTACAGGGGAGTGCCACCATGCCTGTGGCACCAGAATATTCTTATTCTAGTCCTGCTTCTCAATTAATGGCCATGCACTAAATGTTGAGTTGGGTGGGGGCTGAGAGGCCAAGTGATGATTTTAGCCTAAAGCTTGCCTACAAGCCAATAAGCTGACAGTCCTATGGGAGAAAGGTTAGGGTTTTAGATAAAAAATGAATACCTGAAATCCCAGACAAAAGATGTAAGGAAGAGGCTGGAGAAATGGCTTTGGCAGTAGGGACCTGCTCTTCCAGAGGACATTATTTTTACACACACACACACACACACACACACACACACACACACACACACACACTCTTAAACTCTTAAAAGAGAGGAAAGCTGTCATTGTGTTGACTGCAGTACTGGTTTAGGCTTCCTGGAAGAGGGTTCCTGAGATGGGTTTTGAAGAATATGGCATCCAAGAGGGATAGCGAGGCATGACACCAAGGTTTTGAACTTACAGGGCTGGTGACAATTTGGCTATGTGCTGGGTCCAAATGCAGAGTCCCGAAGTTCCTGGTCTTTGCTCAGCAGTTGACAGTAGGGGGTCATAAGGTAATGTTGGTAGCCATCCGAATGAATGAATTCTTAGGAGGAAGAAAGTTCTAGGAGGGAGCCGGAACTCAGGATGGCTGGAGGCGGAGACCTATACCCCAGAGAGGCTGTGGCATAGGTCTGGTGTACACAACTAGAGTTCTGAGAGAAAAGGCTTCCTTTCTAGAAAGGCTGCTAAGCTTGCTCAGGCCCCACACACCACCACATCAGCCAACTCAACAAAAGAACTCAGGAGATGTTAGAGGCCTTGGCCTAGATACAGCACCCTAGGAGCCCAGGAACCCGTGCACTTCACGTGGTTCCTTTGAGGTGATCCCACTCTGCCAGCAACGCCCCCCCTCCCTTCCCCGCAGGATTGCAGAAGAGGACTTTTCAAAGGATGTGACTGTGACAACGAGACGAGTTTAATGACAATACCCGTCCCCCCCCCCCCCCCCCGTTTGTTTGTTTTAAAACGGGTTCTCGTCTTTCTGGCCAGAGGGCGAGCGCCCATCTCGGTAGGACTGGCCGGAGGCACTGTGGCCTTCCACACGCAGGACCGCGACCCCGCTCTGGTGCTCGCTGCGGCCAGAGGCTCTGGGTGGGCGGAGGGACCTGGGTTCCTAGGCCGGGCTGTCCAATAGCCTCTCGCAGATTTCCCTCCGCTGGCCCGCAGCGGCGTCTCGTGGATTCGCGCGCGGGCTCGGGGCGGCGCGAGCCCGGGTATTGCGAGCCCCCGCGCGCCAGGGAGCGGCGCATGCGCGGGCGTCCCGCGAGCCCGCTGAGGCAAGCCGAGCCGCGGCGGCGCCGAGGAGCCAGCGACGGAGCTGTGAGGAGCCCGAACGGCGGCGGCGGCGGCGCAGGGACGGTGGCGACGGACAGGTGCTGAGCCCTCGCCCGCGTCGCCAGGGGCCGTCCGGCCGCCCGCGGAGTCTCGCCGTCAGGACGTGGCATCCGGCGGTGGCGGTGGCATCCCGGACGGCCTGTGAGGGATGCGCCGCCTACTGCCCCGCGCCGCCTGACCGCCCCCGCCTCGCCTCGCGGTGCGCCACAGCCGGGCCCGCGGCCGCCCCTGCGGTCGTCGCCTCCGCGCTGTCACCCGGCCGCCGCGCCTGCGGGGCTGCGCCCGGCCCGGCCATGTGGACCCCCACGGAGGAGGAGAAATACGGCGTAGGTAGGTGAGGCTCGGGCCTGACAGCGGCGGCGGGGGACTCGGGGGCACGTGCCCGAGTTCCCGGCCCCGCCTCGATGGCCGCCCTGGCTCCTCCGCCCCTGCCCGCAGACTGTGCGGCCTCGGCGCGGGGCGGGTGCGCTCCGGGCGGCGGGGATGGGCCCGGGGCTCTGGGTGCGGGAGGGCGGCAGGGGGCGCTGGCGGGGCGGCCTCAGCAGGTGCGGCCCGCGGGAGGGGCCGCCAGGCCGGGGCAGTTGCGGAAGGTTTGTGGTGTGGGGCGCAGGACAGTTTACCCAAGACGATCCATTCTGAGAATCTGCTTTTTCCGGCAGTCAAAACCCTCGATTTTAATGAGTTTCTGCACAAAAGTTAACGAGCCCGATGGCGGTTTATTTTCCGATTGGGATCTTACCAAAAAGGATGAAAATCGTTGACATCATTTTCTCAGTTCAAAATGCTGCAGATATTTGTCTTGCTTTAAATATTAGAAATAGTTGCCCTACTACCGTGGGAGGTGTTTGGGACATACATTGTTAAAGTTTAGTGTATTTTGTTGATATGGTTTTGTTAAAAAAATCTATTTTAAAATGAGAACGTTATTCCTTAGTTTTCTTTTTAAGTGTTATGCGAAACTCCAGAGGCTAAGGATTTTTTAACATTCCATTTTTTAAAAAAGAATACTCATTTATTTAAGGGACCGAGTGTTTTACTTTTACAATGTTAGCATTTCGTGGTCATTACACGACGCTTTACATTATTTTGTTCAGCCACTTTACATTATTGTAAATTGGATTTACAATTTGGATTTACTTAGAAATATTTAAAGTGTGGAGTGTGCAGTGATTTTTCTCTTTCTTAGCCTGTAATGGAAAATTTTAAAAAAACTTGCAGGAAATATATTGCCAAGAGGCAAATTATTATTTCCACTATTGCAACAATTCTATCAGTATTTTGTTCATAATTCATTACAAAGGAACTTTGTAAATTGCAGTGGTAACAATTGTTTTGGAATACCATCAGGCAAGGTATGTCAAAATAGGATTTATATCAGAGAAGCCCTCTATCTTGTTCTGAAAAGTAACATTCCAAAGTTTGTAATTAGCTATGCTACAATGGAACTGGTGAAAAAGACTCCCGAGTCTGTTGAAATAGAATTGGGAAATGATGCACGTGTTGGCATTCACCCCGAGGGACTCTTACCTTTTCTATTTAAAGCATCCCTTGAATACTAAGTTGATGCTGTGAAATGAGGAGTTGATGGTTTTTCTTCTTCATAACTTGCTCTCAGAACTACTTAATTAGAATAACAAGCAAGCAGTATGAAAGTGGTCAGCTGTCCAGTGGTACACTTGATTGATTTCTTCTGGGGAGGAACCCCCAAGTAGTGCAGATAGTGGAGTTCCGAGTGCTGGCTTCCATTTACTGGTGCTTTGGGCAAGTTACTCAAATCATCTTCTTAATGTGTAAATGAGGGTTCATGTTTACATATCTTATAGGGCTGTGGAAACCAAACAAGTACACACTAAGTAGTTAGTATATGTTAATCCTCCATTAGTACTTAGAGAGTGATAACACTCTGACAATAAACACTAGGTGTGTTAGTTCTAAGACGGGCAATTCAAGCCAATCAGGACAGGTGTATGTGAATCCTAAAGTACTAGGATTTGATGTATGATTTACCAAGACAAAAGATGGAAGGAGATTCTTCAATTCTTCAGACTATGTGCTTAGCTTTAGAAAAATTGCTGTTCCCTGTAGAGGAGCACAGCATTGGGCACAGGGTAGGTCTTAATGCTTGTTGTCATTCTGAAGACAGTTTCTTTACTGCTGTGGTCTGGTATAATTTTGGTGCTTTTTCTTAAAAAAAAAAAAAAGGCAACTACTTGGTATTTCTCTGTTTTTTTCAACTGTCTCTTCCTCAGTTATGGTCTAAAAGTTTTTGTTAAAATTGTTTAAAACTCAGGACATCTCCCCCCCCCCCCAAACATGTTAAGGGCTGCACTTCTAGGCATTTTCTTAAAATCTAATTTAATCTGTAAGATATCTTCAGTATTGTGCTTAATAATGAGAAAAAATGTCAATTCAAATGATTTTCCATTTGTTCCAGTGTTTAATTGCTTTAAGGACCAGCTTGAAAGTTTAACTATTACCATTGTTTCTATGAGAAAGTATTGAGTTTAGCTTTGCTCCTTTTTCAAATTAAACATTTATTTTTACTTATTTGTGTGGGGAATAGGTGTGCCCATGTTGTGACCTGCAAGTGGAGGTCCCAGAACACCTTGGGGAGTCTGTTTTCCTCTACCCTGGGGCTTTGGGTGTTGAACTCAGGCCATCTAGCTTAGTGACAGGTGCCTTAGCCCACTGAGCCAACTCACCAGCCCCAGCTTTGAATTTTGTGACTAAGTCAGAGCACAGATATCTGTTTCTGTTTGGCAATTTGTAATCCTTCAACAAGGAAGAAAGTGTACTTTCCATCTGATCTGGAGAACCATGAGAAAGAGCTCCTGATGTCGGTGAGGGAATGAGTTCCTGTTGCAAAGTCTCCCCTCTGCCACCCTGTATTAGTTGTTACAGTGCATTTTCACATTTGTAAGGCTTTTGAAATCTAGTAGTAATTCAGTTTTCTTTCAAGACAGTTTCTTACTATGTAGCACCTTGGTTTCCCTAGTACTTATAGAGAGATCCACCTGCTTCAGCCTCCTGAGTACTGGGATTAAAGGCATGTGTCACCAAGCCTGGCCCGGAATTTAACGTCTTATTTTTTATCTTTATTTTTACAATAGAGGAGCTTTGTACAGGCAGAAACATTTCTTTTATTATTTTTCACTTAAGATTATGTGGTACCCGAGCTCCCTTTTTGTTACATTCTGTGTATGACTTGAGAAGGTGGAGAGGCCACTGCCCTTTTGTGAAGATAAATGATGTGCCAATCAGTTTGCTGGAGATACCCGATTGTGTAGCCATATGTAGATTCCTAGAGTAGTCTTCATAGGATCTATATTATATAAATGAAGAAAAGGATCTCAGAGATTGCTTTTCTTTCCTTCCTGTCTTTCTTTCTTTCTTGGTCATTCAGCAGTTATAGAGTCCCTTTAATTTTTTTTTTTTTTTTTTTGGCAATGGGAGGCATTTTATGACATAACTTGACTGTTTTTGCTCTTCTCTAGTATTGTTAGGGGATTTTCCCCTCCATTTCTTCCCTCTGTGTTTTTGCAACAGGGTTTTACTCTATAGTTCAGACTGAACTATACTCAGGCTGAAAATATAATTGCTTGGAAAATTCTGTATGTTTTATTTCTTAGGTTGTCTTTCCAAGGAACTTCATGCATTACAGCATTACAGTGCATTAAATAGGAAAAATGGTTGACCTTCCTTTTTTTTGGTTTTTTGAGACAGGGTTTCTTTGTGTAGTTTTGGTGCCTGTCCTGGAACTCACTCTGTAGACCAGGCTGACCTTGAACTCACAGAGATCCACCTGGCTCTGCCTTCTCAAGAGCTGGGATTAAAGGTGTGTGCCATCACCGCACGGCCTTGTCCTTTTTTTACTGATTGTACTCAAACTCCTGAACAGGGAAGCCAAAACTAAAACCACACTATTCTTACTCTCTCCTAACAAGAACAGGAAATACCCACAGCGAATAAAAATGTAATTAAATTTGTTCAATAGATAAACAGCAAAGGTGTGAATGTGTTTTGATGTCGTAGATGTGTATGTTGGTTAGTTTTTGTCAACTTGACAAAAACCTCTGGGAAGAAGGAATCTCAACTGGGGAATCACCTTCAGACTGGCCTATAGTAAGGGATATTTTTCTTGATTAATGATTGATGTGGGAGGACCTAGCTTACTGTTGGTAGTGCCACCTTTGATCAGGTAGTCCTGGGTTGTATAAGAAAACAGGCTGAGTAAGCCACAGGGATGCCTGTAAGCAGCATTTCTCTGTAGTCTCTGCTACAGTTTCTGCCTTGGCTTCCTCTGATGAGGGACTATAACCTGTAAACCAAATTAAACCCTTCCCTTCCTAAGTTGCTTTGGTCATGGTCTATTTATCATAGCAATAGAAAATGTAACTAAGAGAATATGTAAACTTCCTCAAAAAGCCATCTTGTCTATTACACTGCTGTCTTTAGGTTAACAAACAGACAAAAACACATGTGTATGCTAGGCAGGCACTCTGCCACTGAGCTACATCCCCAGCCCCATGGTAAACTTTAATAATTCAGAACATTGATTCTTATTGTTTGCTATTTTTCAATTCTTATACCATGAAAAATTTCCCTCATTACCCTCCAGAATATTTAACATATTTAGCAATAGTTTTGCAATGCTACGTTCATTTTTTCCTGATTCCTAAGACCAGGTTATGTGTGTACAGTCTTTTATTTGTATTTAAATAAATCACTAAGTTTCATGGAAATTTAACTTCTAAAGATCTGTAGTAGAGCCTGGTGTGGTTTATATTTCCTTGAATTCAACAGACTGGAGGATTAGAAGTTTGAGAAGAGAGGGAGGGAGATAGGGGAAGGAGGGAAGGCAGAGAGAGAAAGGATGAAAAGGAAGGAAAGAAAAAAAAGATCTGTAGTACAGAGGAGTCTGAAGTGGAGCAGGAACCATATGGAAAAGAACCACTGTCCACAGCATTTGAGTAAATCCACTGGTCACTAGAGCAGCCTGAAGACATGGCGGCTTTCGTTATTTTATGACCCATCAGTCCCAGGAAGGAAACCCAGATTTTGAAGTCTCTGAAAGAGAACCAACACCTTTTTTTTGAGGTAAAGATTCCCACCAGGGGAAGAGCTGTCACATCTCCAGAACTTTATTTTGTTCTGAAAAACAAGTATATAATCTGCATTTATAATCATAGGTTTAGTATTACAGGGAATGTTGACATTTAAGATTTTACTTGAGCATCATGATGGGAGTAAAGTGACAGATCTAAGGTACTAGGCTAACGAGTGCTAAATTGAAGTTTGAAGCCAAGATTTCAGAATTCTAGGCCACAGAT